TTATTATTATTATTATTATTATTATTATTATTATTATTATTATTATTATTATTATTCTGGCTCCCCACTTTAGATTGTGCGCAAAACACATAATATGAGTTTGAAAAAAAAAAAGAATCAGGTTCAGTAAATACGAGTCACGGTTGTGTGTAGAAGGTCGCGTTGAGTTTTTTTTTTTTAATAACAATAAAAAAATGACCGCCATTTTTTATTTTACGGATATTTTTTTTAAATAATTAATAAATATTTAATTTATTAATAATAATAATAATTATTATAAAATGGGTAAAATTTATTTATTTATTTTATTTCGGATTTTTGTCGAGTGAATTATTATTATTGTTATTTTATTCTCTGAGTGACGTTAAAAGAAAAAAAGGGGAAAAAATATTATTATTATTATTATTATAAATGAGTGTGAATATGCCGGGGGAGAATATAATAAAGCGGTTCGATTATAAAAAAATTTTATAAAGTGGTGAATTTAAATTTTAATGAAAAATTTTTTTAGTAATAATTAGTTTGGCGTTACCTAAACTAAACTAAACTAAAAGTAAAACGTTTTTAAAAGGAAATCCATTACAATGAAAAAAAAATTTTTAAATTTAACGGTTACTTATTAAGAAAGTTAATTAGTTAATAATTTTATCAAGTAATTAATTATGTTAAGTTAATGCAAAAATTTTTATATCAAAAACTATGTGTTAAACGTAAATTAATAATTTGCCTTTTGTCATCTCTCTCTCTCTCTCTCTATCTTTCTCTTTTCACTCCTTTTTTCTTGTTCCTCTCTCTTTCTTTTCTGATTTTTTACTTCTTTTTCTCTTTTTCTTTCTCAGTTTTTATTTTTTCTCCCTTTTTTTTTTTTTTTTACTTTTCTCATTCTTTCTCTTTCTGTCTTCACTTTTCTCTTTCTACCTCTCTCTCTCTTTTTGCTATCTCTTTCTCTCTTTTTACTTTTCTGTAACTCTCTCTTTTTTTCTCACTTTTTATCTCACTTTACTTCTTTCTTTCTTTCTTTTTCTCATTACTTTTCTCTTTCTTTTTGTTTCTCTCTATTTACTCGTTTGTTTCTCTTTTTTTTTTACTTTTTCTTCTCTCTCCCTCTTTCTCTCTCTCTTTATCATTTTACTACTCTTTCTCTCTTCTTCGGAAAACTTTGACGTTATATATATATATTTATTTGTTTAAAAAAAATTAATTTTACGAAGGGTGAAAAAAAAAAAAGTTTAAAAAAATATTTTTTTTTTGTTGTTCATAAACGGGTAAAAGTCAGTTGTTTAACAAATTACAAACAAACAAACAAACGCAAACAAAAAGAGGGGAAAAAAAGTTTTTTTTTTATGTAATTAATGGTTTTAAAATAGTTACAGAAAGAAAAGAAAAAAATGGGGAGGCATTGATTACGTTTTAAAAATAATTTTTTCTTTTTTTTTTTTTTTTTTTTTTTTTTTTTAATACGTTTGAAAAGAACAATGAACGGAATTTTCTAAAAAGAAAAAAAAAAGGAAGGTTTCCTACCGTTTTTGTTTTGTTTTGTTTTTTTCATTTCATTTCATTTATTTCTTCTTCTGCTTTCTTTTTACATGTTTAGAATTATTATTTAAAGAAAACCACAAATAAAAAAAAAAAGAAAGAAAAAAAATTGTGTGTTTTATGTTCTCTCTTAAATCGTCTGAGATTTTAATGTTTGTCTTTATTGGTTTCATATTTACGGTCCTCGTAATCGTCATCGTCGTCTGCTCTGCGGGTGAAAAACTTTTTTTTTTTTTTTTTTTTTTTAAATTTTAATAATAATAATAAAAAAAAAAAAAAATTAAAAAGTTTTTAATCCTGACGAAAGTTTTATTGAAAAAAAAAAAAAAATTTTTTTTTAAATTGTAACTTTTTTTTTTTTTTTTTTACTTTGAATACGTTTTCGATCTCTCTCTCTCTCTCTCTCTCTCTCTCTTTTGTTAATGTCATAATAATAATAATAATAATAATTTAAAATGTATAATATTTCTGTTTAACTCAATGTTGTGAAATAGTTTAAAATTTAATGCCCTATAGAAACCTTATACTGATTTTTTTTTTTTTTTTAAATTTTCTTTTGTTTTTTGTTTGTTTTTATTTTTCGCGTATACAAAACCACGTGCCAATAATGATGAGTATTGAATACGAATCGATTTATTTGTTATTTTTATTTTTTTTTATAAAACATAAATTGATGTTACGTTGGTTGACATTTTGTCCTTTTTTTTTTTTTTTAAAATAAAATTTTCTTCATCGTTAAAAAAAATTTACGATTGTGTGACGTTGCTAAAACTTGTCTCGTTATTGAAAAGATTAGAAGAAAAAAAAAAAAAAATTTTTTTTCAATATTAATTTTTCACATCAAGACAATCATCATCATTATTGCCATCTGAAGAAAATCTTCAATACCGTTATAAACAAAAGATGATGATGATAAGATTTATATTGAATGAAATTATCATTTAGAAAATTATTATTATTATTATTAAACAAATGTGATTAAACCGGAAACACTTTCAAACTCGTCTTTTTAGGGAAAAAAAAAAAAAAAATTTTTTTTTACAAAATTGATTTTTTAACGTCATTCGACTTGATAATAATAATGATAATAGTTAAATCAATTATTAAATTAACGTTATTATGATTTTATCGAGATAAATAAAATCGTCGTCTGCTTGCTATAAAATTTTGTTGTTTGTTTGTTTGCTTGTCGTTCGATTTGATGGTTATTGATGGAAAATTTGAAATTTTTTTTAAAATGATTATTAAAGCCATGACTTTTTTTTTTTTTATTAAATAAAATTAATTGCATTAAATAGTTGGTAAACAATTTATTATTATTATTATTATTATTATTATTATTATTATTATTATTATTTTAATGAGCCGAACAATTTTTTTTTTTTTCTAAAATGAAATTTAAAGTCGCGAATGTTGTTGTGGTTGCGTCGCGAATAATATATATAATAAATGTATGAATTTTCGAATAAATAATTAATATTTAAAATGGCGGATTTTGTTATAAAAATAATTAAAACTAACGGTTACTAGAAAAAAAAAATGTTTTCAACCATTGTTTTTAATTAAATAGAGTAATAATACAAGATTTTCTTTTTTTTTTTTTTCTTGCATATAAAAATTATTAAAATTGAACTTTAAAAAAAAATGTTTTTTTTTTTTTTTAACGCTCATTGTTTTTTTTTTTTTTTTTTTTTTGTCGAGGGGAATTTTTTTGTTTTTTTAAATTCCGGTTTTCCCCCCCCCCCCCCCCCGAAAGGAAAAAAAAACTTGAAACCAATTAATAAAATGAATATTTAATGCGTTAATAATTTACAAAACTTTTTTTTTTTTTTTTTTTTTTGTTAGCTCCTGAGTTACTTTAATCGAAATAATAATAATAATAATTTATGCATTCTTTTTGTTATTTGTCGGATGTTGATTCGTTTTGGGGGTTTTTATTGTGTTCTATTATAACGAAAAGATGATTTTTAACGTGGGAAATTATGATGGTAGAGATGATAGTATAGAAAAAAGTTTTGAAACAATTTTCCAACGATTTGAAACACTTAAAAAAAAAAAAAATGTGTCGAATATTCATTTCGCGAAATTTTATTATCGTAAAACATTTTGGAAGTTTATTTGTTGTTTTATTGTTGTTGTTGTCGTTGTTGTTGTTGTTGTTGTTGTTGTCGTCCCTGAATTTGTTTCTCGTTTGAAATGATAAATTTTAGTTATTTTAATGTCTTTTTTTTTCTTTTTTTTTTCTCGAAAGAATAAATCAGCAAATGAAAATTTATTCGTTTGTTTTGTTTTTCGTTTGTCTGGAACTTTGCGTTTAAATTAATTTTTAATAAAAAAAAAAAAAAAAAGGAAAAGAAATTAAACGAAATAAAACAATGATGAGAAATTCAGATTCGAATCCTCTCTACGCTTGTGCAGGATGAGAAAAAAAAAAAAATAATAATAATAGTGTATCGGAAAAAAAGGCATTAAATAAAAACGAAAATTTTGTTAAAAAGAGTAAAAAAAAAAAAAAATGTTATTTCAGATTTTAAAAAAATTGATTTCATCACATTCAAGTGTAATGTTGTTTTTTTAGAGGTTAAACCTTAATTAAAAAGCTTTTTTTAAAAAAAAAACCAACCAACAAACAAACAAACGACATGAAACAAACATAAGAAAAAAAAACAGAAAAAGTTAAGTTAAAAAGAAAGGGGAGAAAAAAAAAAAATTTGATCGCGATGACATATAATTTTTTTTTATTTTTTTTTTGTTTAAATAAAATTTCGAAATCGTTCGTTTATTATTATTATTTAAATGAAAAAGAAAAATCTCGAAAGTGAAAAACCGACGCAAAAAAAAAAAAAAAACTGACAGTTGTTGTAAAAAAAAAAAAAAAAATTGCGGGGGTTTAGATTTGTGTATAAAAAAAAAAAAAAAAAAAAAAAAAAAATTTAAAATATCCCCCCCCCTAAAAGGGCCCCCGGTAAGGAGATATACCGGGACAAAAATAGTTGGGCCAAACTTATATAAAAAAAAAATACCCATCAAAATAAATTTGTTTACATTGATTTGTAAACGTTTCGGTCAAATTTATCTGGTCGCGATATATGGCCGTAACACAAATATTAAATGAAATTTTTTTTTTTTCTACCCCGGGTTTTCCCCCCCCAAAACTATTATTTATTTATTTATGTATTTTTTTATTTATTAGATTTTAATAAGGTTTTTTTTTTTTTTTTACCTTATCACTGATAACAATCCATGTTTACTTTGCGACTAATTTTTTTTTTTATATTCAAAATGTCTACGAATTCAAAAAAAAAGAATTTTTTTTTTTTTAACTTTCCTTCTTAAATAGTTCATGAATTATTTAATGGTATTATTATTATTAATATTATTATCATTATTATCATTACGTACTACCTAAGGTAATTTATTTTCTTTTTAAAGTTCAAGGACTAACGCACACGCCGACTTCTCAGATGTCGCAGACGCAACAATTTTCCGTAAGTGGCAGACTTTCAATGAGCGCTTCGCCACCGGTTTTCGAACAAATTTTCCGAAATGCAAGGTTCGCTCAAGGAGGCAACGCACTTTTCGAAGGGAAAATACGCGGAAATCCCAAGCCGACTGTCACGTGGACGAGAAAGGGAGCTCCTCTCCTTGAAAGTAATAAATTTAAAATGACGTACGAGGAACAAACAGGGAATGTTACTCTGCTCATTAATAAAATCGGACCTGGAGATGAAGGAGAATACACGTGCACGGCTAGAAATCAATATGGAGAAGCCATTTGCTCCGTGTACATTCAACCGGAAGGTACACTTTGAACCGAAAAAAACAAAAAAAAAAGAACGAGCAAACAATTATTATTATTTTTTTTTTTTTTTTTGGGGATAAGAAAGCCCAGGCACGCATTATTTCGACCTAAAATCTTAAAAAACAACCAACTTTTAAAATGAAATCTTAAAGTTTATCTTACGACCTTTAACTGTACATTTTATTTATGCAAAACAAAAAAAAAAAAACAAAAAAATTTTTTTTCTAATGTTCGCCTTCCATGTTTTATAAAAAATTTACTTAAAATTATTTGAGGTAAAAATTGAGGGAAAAAAATTTTTTTTTAAATCATACATTCCCATTCATACACACGCATACGTAGATTTATACACGCACGCACGCACGCACGCATAAATCAATATAAATTTAAAATTTTTCAAGATCGTTCACACTTTTCAAAACCCACGGATTTATTATTATTTTTTTTAAAATTATTATCATTATTATTTATTACGAAATGTTTTTATGCGAGTGTAAATTACTATACAAATTACGCGTGTGTATCACGGAAAGAATAATTGTTTGTTCGAATCGATAATATTGATAATTGAAATGTTAACAACGATGGAATAAAAAAACATGTGAAACAATTTTTTTCCCCGAATATTTCAGGTACAATGATGCCTCAGCAAACGTATCAACCGCAAGGCTTCCAAAGAGAAGTTTCACAAACTTTCGATACGGCCGAACATAAAACGTCTACGACATATCAAAAATTTCAACAACAGCAAAAAACAGAAAAATATGGTTATAGTAATGGAGTTTATACTAACGGACACTCTGCTATTGAAGTAAATTTTTTTTCGATAAGCTAAATACTAACCGAAAGAGATAATTTTACTAAAAAAAAAAAAAAACAAAAATGTTTACGAATCGTAGCGTGACGGTTTTTCTTCTTTTTGATTTATTACCGTGTTATTTGTTGTTGTTGTTGTTGTAAAAATCGTTTGTACTGCGAAAAAAATAATTTTTTAAATACCTCGGATGATTTTATCAGTTTGGGTATTTAAAAATGATAACGTATCTGTATGCCATGCGTGTTTGAAAAAAAATGAGAATTTAAAAAAAAAAAATTTATTATTATTATTATTATATAAATGATAAAAATATTATTATTGTAAAATGTTTTCGCAGGATTTCAAAGTTGATACATTTGAATATAGAATTCTTCGAGAAGTTGTGTTCCGTAATTCGTTGACAAGAAGATATCAAGGTGAAAGTGATGCTCAAATTTCACAAACTGTTGATATGTCTCTCGGACCTGCCGCATCACCGCAATTTTCACAAAAACCACGTAATTCTAAGTTGGGTGAAGGAACCGATGCTACCTTCCAGGCAAAGGTTTCTGCTAATCCCCGACCTAGGGTATGTTTAAATTTAAATTAAAGTGAAAAAAAAATAAATTTTCGTATTAATGACACTTTTTTTTTTTTGTTTGTTTTCAGTTAACTTGGTTTAAAAATGGTCAAAGAATTATGTCATCTGATAAATATAACATAAACTTTGCTAATCAAACAGCTACTCTTAACGTTAAAAATGTCACCGCTGATGATTGTGGTCATTACACTCTTTTGGCTGAAAATCCTCAAGGTAAAAAATTTAACTAAACGGGATTCGAAAAAAAAAATTTTATAAATTGCCTTAATTTCGACCGTTAATTATTAATAATAATGAAATTTCAGGTTGCGTTGTATCTTCAGCTTACCTTGCAGTTGAACCGAGTGCCGATAATTACATTGAAAGTCAAGTTTTAAAACAAACTCAAATGGAATCTGCAGCATCTTACGAATCGGACAGTAGCAAATCACTTGCTCCCAACTTTATACGCACCTGCTCTGATAGAGATGCACAAGAAGGAAAAATGACACGTTTCGATTGTAGAGTCACCGGTCGACCGTATCCAGATGTGACTTGGTTTATTAACGGTAGACCCGTGTCAGATGATTCTACTCATAAAATATTAGTTAACGAATCTGGAAATCATGCTCTTATGATTACCAATGTTAATAGAAACGATCACGGTGTCATAACTTGCGTTGCCAAAAACAAAGCCGGAGAAACTTCCTTCCAGGTACTGAATAATAATTCTTATTAGAAAAAATTTTGACTATGATTTTCAGGTCGTATAAGATTTCGTGAAACTATTTTTTTTTTTTTTTTTCAGTGCAATTTAAATGTCATTGAAAAAGAATTAGTCGTAGCTCCTAAATTTGTTGAACGTTTCACAACAGTCAATGTTAAAGAAGGAGAACCTGTTGTTTTGAATGCTAGAGCTGTTGGAACTCCTGTTCCACGAATCACTTGGCAGAAGGTTAATTTTTAAAATATAATTTTCTTATTAATTTTATTTCTCTTTACTAAAAATTTCATGTGGATATAAAATAAAATTTTATTTTTTTTTTTTTTTTACAGGATGGCGTGCAAATTTTACCCGGCCCAAATGTTTGCATAATGACTGAGGGTGGAGCTTCGACGTTAGAAATTGCAAATGCAAAGGCGTCGGATGCTGCATGGTATCAATGCACAGCTCAAAACGTCGCTGGCTCCACAGCAACTCGCGCGAGACTTTTTGTAGAGACTCCCAAGTTCGTGCAAGAGGCAGAACCTAAACGTCTTAATTTACCAAAACCTACAAGAGTTATTGAACCCGAGTAAGTTTATATAATTTTACTTGCATTTACATGAGTACTTTTACTTGAGTCGGTTTTTTAAACAAAAATCATTTTATAGACTTGAAGCTGGTCCTGAAGTGATTTATCTAAGACACGTTGAACGCTCGAAACGTCATCGCAGACACCAAGATGAAGAAAAAGTGTATCCTCCACCACAATTTATTATTCCTTTGAAAGATGCTAACTCTCACGAAGGAGGCAAAGTTCACTTTGAAGGTAGAATTGAACCTGTCGGAGATCCGACCATGAGAGTTGAATGGTACATAAATGGACGTCCTCTAACAGCAAGTATGTCACTCATTTTCGAAGAAAAGAAAAGAAAAGTAAACAATAAGGAAAATACTAAATTTAAAATTTATTAATTTAATTCAGGTTCTAGAGCTAGAACGACTTTCCAATTTGGATACATAGCTTTAGACTTACTAAGCCTTATATTTGAAGATACCGGAGAATATTTATGCCGTGTAGTAAGCTCTACTGGAGTCGCAGAATCCAGAGGAATTTTGAGAGTAACCGGTTAGCGATTAATTATTAAAAGAAACGGCAATAAATGAAATTTTTTGTCAACTTTTGATACATTTCAAATTTTTATTGAAATTTCAGAGAGGCCGGCAATCGAATTATCCTCTCAACATCCTGACAGTCTTCAACAAATTCAACAACTCGAAGATTATTCAAAATATCAAAGAACGCAAAGCATGGAAGAGATAATCGGGCAAAAACCAGTTTTTATTAGACCTTTGAAAAATCTTGGAGAATTGCAAGAAGGTCGCAATGCTCATTTTGAAGCTCAAATAACACCAGTTAGCGATCCCACGATGAAAGTTGAGTGGTACAAAGATGGAAGACCCATTACAGCAAGTGAGTGATTTTCTGTTTTTCTTTTTTTTCAAACATAATTTTTTTTTTTTTTTAATGAAAATATTTAAAATATAATTGATTTTTAAGGTTCCCGTATCTCTACCATTTTCAACTTCGGATACGTTTCTTTGAATATAATGCAATTGCGCCCCGAAGATGCCGGGCAATACGTTGTTAAAGCCGTTAACCGACTTGGAGAAGCTGTCAGCACTTCTGATCTTCGTGTTTTTGGTAACATGTCGCAATTTATTTGTTGTTCTTATTATTTATTTCTAATGATTTTCATTTAAAAATTTTTTAAAATGAAATTTTTTTCCAGTTCGTCAAAGTGTTACTGGAGATTCTGGTATTCCAGAACAACAACGGTACATTGATAAAACCATGGAGTTAGAAGCATATCAACTTCAACAACAATATAAGCCGGTTCCTGCTGGACCACCGGAAAGCACAGAACCTCCCGTATTCAAATCTCCTATCAAAGATCAAATAAATATTAAAGAAGGCGCATTCGCCCATTTTGAAGCTAGATTAGAACCATTGAATGACTCAACTTTGAAAGTTGTTTGGTTGAAAGATGGCAAACCTGTCGAAGCCAGTACGTGTTGCGAATTTTTTATCCATCGATGTTTCTTGTACGACAAAACATTTCATCTAATAAATATCTATTTCAGGTTCACGAATCACATCTTTCTTTAACTTCGGATATGTCGCTTTAACTATTAAATACGTCACAAGCAGAGATGTCGGCGTATACACTTGTAAAGCTTATAATCAATTGGGTGAAGCTCAAACGACCGCTCAATTAACCGTACTTGGAAAACAAGATATTATATTTGATAGTCAACATCCGGGAGGATTGCAAAAAATTCAAAACTTGGAAGACAGTAGTCGCTATGAAAGAATGGTTAAAGAAGAGCAATCCGTAACTCAAAAACCCAGATTTTTAGGACCATTAAAGGGTACCAACAAAATAGTTGAAGGTCAAAGAGCTCATTTTGAAGCCAGAGTCGAACCCCAAAATGACTTAACTATGAATGTCGAATGGTATCACAATGGTAAACCATTACAAACCGCTAATAGAACTCAAACTTATCACGATTTCGGCTATGTAGCCTTAGATATTACAAGTGTTAGGTCGGAAGATGCAGGGTCGTACACCGTAGTTGCCAAAAATAAATTAGGAGATGCCCAAGCTTCTACTACCATGGAAGTTGAAAGTAAGATTTGTTTTTTTACTTTCCCTCCCCCTCCTCAAACAAAAAAATACAAAAAAAAAAATTAAATTATATTTGAATTTTAGCCCGATCAAGTATCGATACAACAAGTATGCATCACGGTTTGTACGAAAAAACAAAACGCTTGGAAGATTCTAAATTTGTTGAACCTCATTATGACATTGAAGAAATTTCAAAATCAAAACCGATTTTCACTCAACCATTATCCGATCCCAAACCTGTTTTCGAAGGAAAGAATATTCACTTGGAATGTAGACTAGAACCCATGGGTGATCCTACAATGAGAGTTGAATGGTACTGCAATGGTCGCCCCGTCACAGTTGGTAAGTTGATGTTTAAATAATTATTTAAAAAAAAAAAAAAAATTGAGTAAATATGAATATTTTTTAAACGATGATGTTTTTTTTTAGGATCACGTTTCCGTACCTATTATGATTTTGGTTATGTCGCTCTTGACATAATTCAAGCTCAAGCTTTCGATTCGGGAGAATACACGGTACGCGCAACAAATCATTTAGGTTCAGCTCATACATCAGCTTGCGTCCGAGTGATTGGACGATCGGATGTTGTCACCGAAAGTCAAAATGAAGCCGCTCTAGAACAAATTCAAATGCTTGAAGATTCTTCGCGTCATAGGCGTCACGTGCAAGAAGATATAACAATTGTTCAACCTCCTCAATTCACCCGACCTTTGCATAACTTGGAAACAATTGAAGGAACTAATATACATTTAGAATGCCGATTGCAACCGGTTGGGGATCCAAACATGAGAATTGATTGGTTTGTAAACGGCAGACCTGTAAAAACTGGACACAGATTTAAACCTGCATATGATTTCGATTACGTCGCTCTCGATCTTTTGAGCGTCTACCCTGAAGATTCTGGTGTTTACACTTGCCAAGCTAGAAATCAATTAGGCGAGGCCGTTTCTTCTTGTTCTGTCAAAATAATTGCCAAGAAAGATTTGATTTTAGAATCTCAACATCCATCCGGACTTGAAAAAATTCAATATCTTGAAGATGCTTCTCGATACAAAAGATCAGAAGTAACCGATGAAGTTGTTAAAATGAAACCCAAATTTACAACTAAGCCAAAAAGCTTGGAAAATATGCGTGAGGGAAGACACGCTCATTTTGAATGCAAATTAGAACCTGTTACTGATTCTAATTTGAAAGTAGAATGGTATAAAAATGGTCGTCCTATTACTGTAGGTCATCGATTCCGGCCTATACACGACTTCGGTTACGTTGCCCTAGACATAATCGACTTGATTACTGAAGACTCTGGAATTTACACTTGCCGGGCTACGAATATGTTGGGAATGGACGAAACAACATGTTCTTTGCAATGCCTTGGTAGTTCCGCCATTCTTACAAGTTCTCAGAACGAAATAGGCTACGAAAAAATTCAACATTTGGAAGATAAATCTAGATACCAAAGAGCAGAGTTCGTCGAAGAAGTTACTAAACAATCTCCAACCTTTACGACATCTCTGAAAAATATTGACATTAAAGAAGGGCAAAGAGCTCATTTCGAATGTCGTCTGATACCAGTTTCTGATCCCACCATGAAAGTTGAATGGTTTCACAATAATGTTCCTTTAAAATCGGGATCAAGATTTACTGAAACAAATAGCTTTGGGTTCGTAGCACTTGACATACTGCATTCTCAACCGGAAGATTCTGGTACTTATACTTGCCGAGCCATAAATGCTCTAGGAGAAGCTCTTACTTCCGCTCAATTAAATACAAGTTCAAGAAAATCAATTTACTTAGAAAGTCAACACGAAGGAGCTTTAGACAAATTAAGTTATCTCGAAGACGAATCCAGGCACAGAAGACATACTCAACAGGAAGAAGTTGTTTCTCAGCCTCCCGTTTTTACAATGCCAGTTAAAGATTTGAAAGTTGCCGAAAATCAAGCGGCACATTTTGAAGCCAGATTAATACCCGTCGGTGATTCAAGATTAAAAGTCGAATGGTTAAGAAATGGTGTACCCATTGCTGCGTCCAACAGAATTGCCACCATGCACGATTTTGGATATGCAGCCTTGAATATGAAGTACGTTTATCCCGAAGATTCAGGAACTTACACTTGCCGTGCAGTTAACGATTTAGGAGAAGCTGTAACCTCCGCTACACTTGTTTGTCAATCCAAAGCATCTTTGCTCTTAGAAAGTCAACACGAGGAAGCTTTAGAAAAACTGCGAGCCTTAGAAGCTGGTCGTCCTCAGCAAAGAGAAACTGAAGAAATTATTGTTACTGAAGCTCCACGCTTTGTTGCTCAACTGAACGGACCTAATAATTTGTATGAAGGCCAAAGCGCTCACTATGAATGTAGAATAGAGCCGTATCCAGGTTAGAACATTTAAAAATATCTATAAATTAGGTAAAAATTTTTTTTGTTTTTGTTTTTGCAAATAACCAAAAATAATTTTTTTTTTTAGATTCCAACATGAAGGTTGAATGGTTTTGTAATGGCAAACCATTACAAACGGGTCACAGATATAGAACTACCTATGATTTTGGTTTTGCATCTCTTGACGTATTAGGTGTTTATCCTGAAGACTCAGGTGAATACACTTGCAAGGCCACAAATAAATTGGGAACAGCCCAATCATCAACAACTTTGAAAGTAACAGGTTTGTATTTTAAAAATTATGAATTGGTTTATGTATTTAAAAAATAAAAATCCTTTGGAAAAAAATTATAATTTTTTTATTATTCAAATGTATTTTATAGGTCGTTCATCAATTATCTCAGAAACTCAACACGAAGGAGCAATGCAAAAAATCCAATATTTGGAGGATGATTCACGCTACAAGAAAACCGACAGAGAAGACGTTGTAACAATAGAAAAACCACAATTCGGAAGAGGTCTTAACAATATTGATCGCCTTCCTGAAGGTAAAAGCGCTCATTTGGAAGCCACTCTTACTCCGATTAATGATTCAACTATGAAAGTTGAATGGTTTCATAATGGTAAACCGATCAAACAAGGCCACAGATTTAAAACTACATACGACTTTGGTTATGTTTCTCTTGACATTCTCTACGCATATCCTGAAGATTCTGGCACATACATGTGCAAAGCCAGGAATGCAGTAGGAGAAGCCGTAACAACTTCCTCTGTCACTGTAGATTCTAAAGCTGGTCTGGATCTAAACACAATGGATGCTGAAAGATTGAGGAAATTAAAAGAACTCGAAAGTTATCAAAGACCAACCAAAGCCGAACTGGAACCGGAAAGAAGAAAACCTGTATTTACAACTGCTTTGAATAATCTAGAAAATGTTAAAGAAGGAGAACACGCTCATTTGGAATGCAGGGTTGAACCCATAGATGATGCTAATTTAAAAATTGAATGGTTTGTTAATGGTGTACCAATAAAAACCGGTCACCGCTTCAGAACCACTCATGATTTCGGATACGTAGCCCTTGATATTTTGTACACTTACGCCGAAGATTCTGGTAACTACATGTGCAAGGCTACCAATGATTTAGGAGAAGCTGTGAACACATGTTCCGTGAAATGTAGTTCTCGTAAGAGTATTTACTTAGAATCTCAACATCCGGACGGTCTTCAAAAAATAAAAGAACTGGAATCTCAAAGTTATTACACTAAACCGGAAGTTGAAGAACTTCCTATAACTCCACCAAGATTTGTCAGCGATCTTCGAGGCACCACTGAAGTTATGGAAGGAGGCACTGCACACTTTGAATGTCAAGTCGAACCTCTTCACGATGCAAACTTAAGAGTTGAATTTTATCATAACGGAAAACCTCTTCCGTCAGCGTCCAGATTTCACATTACTTTTGACTTTGGTTATGTAGCCTTAGACATTACTCACTGCGTACCAGAAGACGCTGGAGAATACACGGCTAAAGCTATTAATTCATTAGGAGAATGTACATCAAGCATTAACCTTAAAGTGGTTCCCAAGAGCAGCATCATTTCAGAGTCTCAAAGACCTGAAGGTCTTGAAAAAATTCGTAAACTTGAAGAACAAACTCCGTTTCAACGACCAGAAGAACCAGAACCAATCACAAAACAAAGACCAGTTTTTACTCAGCCTCTTCAAAATATTGATTCTATAAATGAATCTGGTACAGCTCATTTTGAGTGCAGACTTATCCCAGTAGGTGACCCAACTCTAAAAGTTGAATGGTACAGAAATGAAAAGTTACTTGAAAACAGTTCTAGAATCACCAAAACACATGACTTTGGTTATGTGTCACTCGATATGACTCATGTCCGCCCTGAAGACGAAGGTGTTTACATGTGCCGAGCCTCAAATCCTTTGGGAGAGGCTGTAACTACTGCTTCTATGGTTGTCAAAAGTAAGTTTTAATTCATTTCGAAATGACTTTTTTAAGGATTGAAAAATGCAATTTATTTTTCTTATTTTATATTTCTTATTAATCACAGGCAAAGCTAGCATACAACTTGACACGCAACACCCAGAAGGAATGAAGAGAATTCAAAAATTGGAACAGAAGGCTCCTCAACGTGCAGAAGAGCCCGAAAAAGCTTTCGATAAACCTATATTTACTCAGTTATTGACCGGTCCCTCAGAATTATGGGAGGGTCAGCACGCACATTTTGAATGTAGGGTTGTACCGGTCGGAGATCCCACACTTAGGCTTGAGTGGTTTGTAAACGGCGTTGAGCTAAAAATGGGTAAGTAAAAACAAATATTGCACAAAAAGTTCAAGGAAAAGGCCCAAAGACCAAATAAGTTATTTTCGTTTATAATTTTACAGATTGCTTAGGATTTTTAATAAATACTCAGCCACCAGGTAGACAAAAAATTTTATGTTACTGGTGTTGGGGTATTAAAACAAAAAAACCATTTCATTATTAAAATCTTATTTATCTCTGTATTAGGTTACTTTTGCGTTTAAGAGCAAACTTTTTTTTTAACATGACATTTAATAATTTTTATAAAAAATTTTTAGGTTCCAGATTCCGGGTTAATCACGATTTTGGATTTGTTACTCTGGATATAAACTCCACTGTGACCGAAGATTCCGGAGTTTACATGTGCAAGGCAATCAACAGCGTTGGTGAAGCTGTGACTTCTACTTCTCTTAAAGTTAAACGTAAGTTTATTAAAAAAAAAAAAAAAAAAAAAAAAGTGATTCGATGTTGGATTGGAATAAAATTTTATAAATTTTTTTTGCAGCAAAATCGGCTATTGTTGGTGACGCACTTCATCCCGATGCATGGCAAAAAATACAATTGAAAGAAGCCGAAATGAACAAAGTTCCTGCTAAATTTGTTGATACGGCTCCACAACAAGCTCCTGTTTTCACTAAACATCTTCAAAGTTTCGAGAAATTGGTTGAAGACCAACAAGTCTTTTTAGAAGCTCAAGTTGAACCTCGAACAGATCCCAACTTGAGAATTGAATGGTTTAAGAATGGAGAACCGCTTGCAACCGGTAACTTATTTAAAAAAAAAAAAAGTGTGGATTTTATTAAATTTCGACAGCATACGAATGTTTCAAATTTATTTTCAGGTTCAAGGATAAAAGGAACATTTGATTTTGGACTTGTAACTTTAACAGTAAATAATTTAAGAGCAGATGATTCTGCTATCTACACTTGCAAAGCCACCAATTTATTAGGTGAAGCCGTTTCAACATGTACTTTGAAAATAGAAGATAAAGATTGGTTGATGGCACACACACTTCATCCGGATGCTTTGCCAAGATTAGCAGCTTTAGAACAAGTGCCCACCAAAAAATCAGAGGCTCCAGAACCTGTGTTTGAAAGTCCTGCTTTCATTACTCATTTGAACAATATTGAATGCCTTGAGGGTGACAATGTTAGATTTGAATGCCAAGTCGAACCTTCAAAAGATCCAACTCTTAAAATCGATTGGTTCGTCAATGGTAAAACACTTCCAATGGGTTCCAAATACAAATCTTCTTACGATTTTGGACAAGTGGCTTTAGATATATCTCATTGTTACGGAGAAGATTCCGGAATGTACACATGTAGAGCAACAAATAGCAAGGGTCAAGCCACTACTTCAGGAACTCTTAAATGCGTCGGTAAACAAAGTATTTACCGAGATACTCAACATCCTATGGGTAAGGCCGGTTTGGAACAAGTACAAAAGATCGATGATATAACTGCTGGTAAATATCAAAGGCAAGAATCGGCACCCGAAGCAGAATTTCAAAAACCAATTTTCGTTGTGCCTTTACCACAAGAAAACAAAGTCGGTGAAGGTGAACCATTACGTTTGGAATGTCAAGTGGAGCCTAAGGATGATCCTAATTTAAAAATCGAGTGGTATTTGAACAGCAAAGCTCTCGATCACGGTTCTAGATTTAAAATGACAAACGACTTTGGATACGTTGCTTTAGACTTGATGGATGTTTACGAAAGAGATCAAGGTATATACACGTGCAAGGCTTGGAATAAAGCCGGAGAAGCATACACTTCGACAACGCTTTACTGCGTCGGAAAAGATGGTTTAATTGAATCCACGCAACATCCTAAAGGAAAGGAAGGTTTAGAAAAAATTCAGGATTTAGAAGAGTCTATGAAAAGACCAGATTCTAAACCAGTTGCACCCGAAGACGGGCAAGCTCCTCAATTTACATCTCAGGTATTGACCGGATTCAGCGTAAACATTAAGCAAAAAAAAAAAAAAAAAAAAAAAAAAAACTTAAATTTAATTGTATTTTTATTTTAGTTCCAACAACTATCGAATCTTAGTGAAGGTGATATTGCTCACTTTGAAGCATCTCTAACCCCTGTGGGTGACCAAACAATGGTGGTCGAATGGTTCTACAATGGAAAATTGTTGGAAGCAAGTGAGTATAATATTTTTATTGTAGTAAAAAGAAAAATAATTAATTTTCTTGATAATTTAAATTGAAAATATTATTAACTTTCAGGCCACCGTACAAGAACTGTTTACGCCTTTGGAATGGTCATGCTTGAAATTCTCGGAACAAAAATTGAAGATTCTGGCGTTTACACGTGTCGTGCAACCAACAAATGGGGACAGGATGAAATAAGCGTTAATTTAGAATGTGTTGATAAATCTAAAGGCCAAAAACCACGCTTCACAACACACATTCAAAACATAGACAACCTCAAAGAAGGGCAAGCAGCTCATTTCGAATGCACGCTTGTACCCGTCGGAGATCCAAATATGAAAGTAGAATGGTTCCACAACGGAGAGCCATTAAGACACTCTTCGAGAATTAAGCATGTGTCTGATTTTGGTTACGTTGTAATGGACATTTCTTACGCCCAATCACACGACACGGGAGAATACATTTGTAAAGCTTCTAATAAATTTGGAGAAGACTACACGAAAGCAACAATTAAATGTACCGGAAAAAGTGGAGTTTTCTTTGATACATTACAACCTGATTCATTGGCTAAAATTAGAGAGCTTGAAGCTTATACCGCAGCCTCTGGAACTCAAACTCCACAAGCACCTATAACAGAACCTCCTAAATTCATCACTCAAATTTCTGACATTACACAATTGAAAGAAGGTCAAAGTGCTCACTTTGAAGCACGATTGGTTCCGGTTAACGATCCTAACATGGTGGTAAGTTTTAAATTAAAATTAAATTTTAGGTTTTCTAAACATAAAAAATGATTTTTTTTTAAAAAAAAAAAATTTTTTTCTTTTAGGTCGAATGGTATTGCAACGGTAAGAAATTGCCACACGGTCATCGTTATAGAACTTTCCACGATTTCGGAATCGTCATTTTGGACATTTTGTACTGTTACGAAGAAAATTCAGGAGTATACGAATGTAGAGCCACTAATAAATGCGGTTCCGACATGACCAAAGCCAGCCTTAAGTGCTTCTCAAAAACCAATCTTATTTTGGATTCCCAATTACCCAGGGTTAGTCAATATGCTGCTGCTGCAGGAATTACTGCAGGAATCGGACTATTATTTTTATATAAACTATTCGGTTCAAAATTACTTGGACACGGTTCAAGTTAAAAATTATTTTTCATAAAATGTTTATTTGAATTACAATAATTTTATTTTTACCCAAAGGGAATGGAAGGAGGTTTAGAGAAAATTCAGAATCTAGAAGATTCTCATGCGAAAAGTCGCGATGAAAAAACGGTTGAAACAAAAGGAATGGCTCCCGTTTTTACCGTTCCTCTGTCTAATATCAATGATTTAAAAGAGGGTGAAAGTGCTCACTTTGAAGGGAGACTTATTCCTACAGATGATCCTAAACTTAAGGTTTGCTATTACCCTTTCATAACTAAATCTGAAATTCTCATTCTAACCTTTACTAATGTAGTTTTGTAGTTTTTAAAAATTTTCAACTAACACCTTCTTTCTTTTTAATTACTATTACTATTACTTCTTTTGTTTACAATTCACGTGTGCGTGTGTGTGTGTGCGTGTGCGAGTGTGTAGATGTATTATAAGATTGATTGTAAAATAATATAAAAATACATAATAAAATTAAAATACCACTAACTTGTCTTTCTTTATACTTTACCTAACATTTTTTCCTAGTTTTTAATAAATAACTTTTAAAACTTTTTTTTTTTTATAAATATTACTTTAATTTAATTTCTATTAACTTTTCTACTAATCTTTAAATTTCTTTCTTAGTTAAACTAATTAATTTTTTTATATTTATTAGCGTAGTGTGTATTAATAAACTTATGTATTTATCTTATGGCTCGTTTTAAATAAATTTTATATGCTTAAATTTATAAATTTAAATTATCGAGAGAAAATTAAATTTTTTTTGTTATTTAAAAATTGTAAAACAGGTTGAGTGGTTTTGGAATGGTAAACCACTTAAGACGGGCTCTAGATTCAGAACTTTCTGCGACTTTGGATTTGTTATACTCGAAATAGCTCCAGTTTATCCCGAAGATGCTGGCGAATATTCTTGCCGAGCTACAAATGATTACGGAGAAGCCGTTACGATTGCTCAAATGAACGTACAAGGAAAGAGAAGCATAATTTTAGAATCGCAATTGCCCAAAGGAATGGAGAGAACAATCGACAAAATAGCAGAACTTGAAGGATTAGGTCAAATGCAAGGACCTTCAACACCAGATGAAAGTTTGGGAAAACCTCCAGAGTTTATAACCACTCCCGAAGATTTGACGTTGGGTGAAAATAGTTCTGCTCATTTCGAATGTCGTCTTACACCTGTTAATGATCCGAGCATGAGAGTTGAATGGTTCCACAACGGCAAAGCTCTCAGTGCTGGATCTCGAATTCGTACGATTAATGATTTCGGTTTTGTAATACTCGAAATTGATGGAGTTTACTTCAGGGATTCTGGTTTGTACACGTGCAAAGCAACGAACAAACACGGAGAAGCTACCGTTTCTTGCCAATTACAAGTGAGAGGACGTACTGGCATTGATTTAGAACCACAATTACCATCTCAATTTAAAACAGGAACTGAAAGTTTACAAAAATTGGAAGAATCTTTGAACAAAAAGGAAGAAATTTTGCCCAGCGAAGAAACTCCAAATCCACCAAAATTTATTGTCGAATTAAAAGATTGCTTAAATGCCCAGGAAGCTAAATCTGTTCATTTCGAATGTAGAGTCGAACCGACTAATGATCCAACAATGAGAATCGATTGGTTCCACAATGGAAAACCTTTCGCCACCGGTTCTAGAGTTCATATGTTAAACGACTTTGGTTTTATCGTTCTCGACATGGATTACGTCTATGCCAGAGACAATGGTGAATACGTTTGCAGAGCTACTAATAAATGGGGATCTGCTACAACCAAAGCTACTCTTATGTGCAAGGGTAAATATATTCTGCGGTTTTGTCGCAATCGGAAAAACACACTTTAAGCATTTAATAAAAAAATATTTAAAAATTTTTAGATCAACACAACATCATCTTGGATTCTCAATTACCCCAAGGTATGACCGGAGAAAAATTAAAAGATCTTGAGAAGGGTCAAGGCACCACTCCACTTCCAGAAGATGCTCCCGGTCAACCTCCTAAATTTATAACACAAATAGAATCGGTCAGTACTACTGAGGGAGAACCCGTACACTTTGAATGCAGAGTGGAACCTAAAAACGATCCTCACCTTAATGTCGAATGGTATCACAATGGAAAATTACTTAAAGCCGGACATCGATTTAGAACTCTTTTTGATTTGGGATACGTATCTTTGACTTTAATAAATGTGTATCCGGAAGATGCTGGAGAATACGTTTGCAGAGCTTATAACAAACTCGGAGAAGATTTTACCAAAGCATCACTTGCATGCAAAAGTAAGTTTTTAGTTTTTTTTACCACAAGAAATACAACTTTTTTTTTTTTGACATGAAACAAATTTATTGTAATTTTTGTTTTTTTTTTTTTTTACAGAAACATCTTCAATTATTCTTCAAAATCAAGTTCCCAAAGGCATGAAGAAAAGTGAAGCTCTCATGCAAATGGAAGCCAGTATAAAGAAATATACTTCTGAAATATTTTTGACCGAAGATGATTTGTACGAACCTGAAAAGAGACAACCTCCGAGATTTGTTACACAAATCAAAGAAAATCTAGAACTCGTTGAAAGAGACGTGTTCAAATTTGAATGTCAGTTGGCACCTGTTGGTGATCCTAATATGAAGGTCGAATGGTTTTTCAATGGAAAACCTTTACTTCACAGTTAGTATATTTCTATCTCACCACAATATTCTACACGATCATGAATGAATTTAAAAAAATTTTAAATTAAAACTTATTTAAAATCGTAAATCTTTTTTTTTTTTTAGAAAATCGTTTGCATCCGATTTACGATTTCGGTTACGTCGCTCTCAATTTCGAATGGGTTTATCCAGAAGATAGCGGAGAATACTTATGCCGAGCAACTAATTTGTACGGTCAAGATGAAACAAGAGCTGTTATTAAAATTGCCGGAAAGCCAAGCATTATTTACGATTCTCAATTGCCTAAAGGAATGAAGAGTATTGAAAAAATTCGAGAAATGGAAGCCGGTTGGCAACAATAGTAAGTTTTATAAAAACGATAATTATTTTGATTACTATTATTATTATTATGCTTTTGGGTAATTTTTTGACAAAAAAAAAATTTTTCTTTAGCCGCGAAACGAAAGAAGAAGAAGTTAAAGAAAAAGAACCGCCGCAATTCGTCACTAAACCAGAGCCTTTCGTTGTCGTCGAAGGAGACACTGCCAGATTTTGTTGTAGAGTTACTGGTTACCCAAGACCTCGCGTTATGTGGCTCATCAATGGCAAAACAATAGTCAATGTAAGGAAATAACACTTTTAAAAAAATTTATTATACCTGAATACATTTTAATTAATTTTTTATTGTAATTTATAAAAAAGGGTACGAGAACCAAAATTACTTACGATGGTATGTGGCATTTGGACATACCTAAAACTCGTCAATACGATAACGGAAAAATCGAAGTGATAGCAAAGAATTCTTGCGGAGAAGCCGTATGTGACACCACTTTAACCGTTAAACCAAGAGGAGATGATTATCGAAACGTATTGAAAAACTCTCCGCGTCGTAAGTTTTATTTTATTTTTAAAAAAGTATTCGCTCAATAGAATACAAAAAAATTTTCGATCGAATGAAATATGATTGGAATTGAGGAAATAATTTTTAAAAAAAATTTTTTTGCAGCTTGGTATGACATTGAGCTTACGGGATATCAAAAAGAACGCCAAGAAACTGAACTTGAAAAAATGTTTGAAGAAAGAAATCAAACCGAAAGAAATTTTGAACCGGAACATTTAAGAAAGAAAGAAATAAAAGAACCGGAAACAGAATGGCAGAAGAATGTTAAAAGCAAAAAAAGTGACGATTATTATGGAAAACTTCGTGAGGTTAGTTAAAAAAAAAAAAAACAATTTTTTTTTTCTTCATTTTTTTATTGTTTGTTGTTTAACTAATTTTAAAAAAAAATTTAACGCGTAATTGTTGTCTTTATCATGTTTAGCTTGAAGAAGAACAAATTATAAAAGAATCAAAAATTAGAGAAACTTCTCATCAATTCGCCATACCCGGAGAAAAAGTTTCTAGAAAATCTTTAGCCAAAGGAATGGCTAAAAGCTACGAAGAAAGTCTGTAAGTATTTGTTTTATTTATGTATTTATTAATAACAATAGAAATTGACTCGGTTTTGTGTCAGATTTAACGCACTTTTTTTTTTTTTTTATTTATGCAGAGAAAAAGAAGAACCGGTTTTGGAATGGCAACAAAAAGCCAAAGAAAGAAGTAGGCGATTAAAAACCGAATACGATGAAACTGAAACTGAAACGGTGGAAGGCACTGATAAACGTCGGGGAGTGAGAGGAGTGCCCGAGCCATCAGAATCTACCGTTCATGGAAAAGAAGTTCACGTTTCCAAACAGAGGCAAAAACAAAAAGAAATTCAAGGAGATTTAGAAATAACGAGAAATATTTCAGCTACTGAAACTACTGAAGTGGAACACAAAGCAACCACTCATGAAAGAGTAGTCGACGGACCTGTTAAACCTGCCAAAGCTCCTTTCTTTACTAAAAAAATTCAACCTTGCCGAGCTTTTGAACAAGAACAAGCACGATTCGAAGTTGAATATGATGGTGATCCGATGCCTAAAGTTAAATGGTTTAGAGAAAACCAACTTATCAATAACTCACCCGATTTCCAAATTCATACGTTTGGAACGAAATCGGTGCTTATACTGCGACAAGTATTCTTGGAAGATTCTGGAGTTTTTTCAGTTATTGCTGAAAACAGGGGTGGAACTGCAAAATGCAGTGCTAATCTTGTCGTCGAAGAAAAAAGAAAAACCGGAAGAGGAGGAACTATTCCACCCAATTTCTTAACGACCATACAAAGCTGCGTAGTTCCTGCTGGTCAATTAGCCAGATTTGACGCCAAAATATCCGGTACGAAACCATTAGACGTGTACTGGTTAAAAGATGGTCAAAAAGTATTGCCAGACATACGATTTAAAGTTCTCGAAGAAGACAATACGTACACCTTATTGATTATTGAAGCAGCACCAGAAGATTCGGGAACTTACGAATGCGTCGCCATCAACAGTTCCGGAGAAGCTCGATGCGAAGCTGAATGCGTTGTCCAAGCTCCTGCCTCGCGAAAAACACCATTAAAAACACCACCATCACCGGGTGTCGAAAGAAAACCAACTCTAATGGAACAATTGAAATCTCAAATAGTAAAAGAAGGACAATCCGTTTCCTTCCGTTGTAAAATATCCGGCAGGCCAAGTCCGGAAATCCAATGGTTCAAAGGTGAAAATTTAATCAAACCATCAAAATACTTTCAAATGCAAAAGGAAGGGGATTGGTGCACTTTAAGAATAACTGAAGCTTTCCCAGAAGATGAAGGACCATACAAATGCGTGGCTACTAATCCGGGAGGCAGCGTTTCTACAACCGCAAATCTCAAAGTGACAGGTACGATTAAAAATAAATAAATAATTCACATTAATTATTTATTTTTTTAAAAATATAAAATAAATTAATATTATTATTATTATTATTATTATTATTATTTACAGCACCGGATTCAAAAGAAAAAGCACCGCATTTAAATCCGATGAAAGATGTGACAGTTCAAGAGGGTAGTCCAGCACAATTTAGAACAAAAGTAACGGGAGTACCTCAACCGACGATACAATGGTTACGTGAGGGTATGCTAATACCCCAAACAGCCGATTTTCAAGTAAATGTTTTTTTTCTCTCTCTCTCTCTCTCTCTCTCTCTCTCTCTCAATTAATCCTTTTCCAATGGATTTATAAATAACCGACATTTTTTTTTTATTTTTAGATGATACAAGAAGGAAACAACGTTGTTTTACTTATAGCAACGACATACGAAGAAGACACAGGTATATTTACATGTCGAGCAACAAATTCAGCAGGACAAAGCGAAGTGTCTGCTCGTCTCACCGTCAAAAGTAAGAATTAAATAATTTGTTTTTTTCTTCTCCCCCTCCCCCCTCTTGCCCTCTTTTTTTCTCTCGACGAAAAAATTTCATATACACAAACATATATATTCTTATTATACCCGGATATTATTCTATTTACACGTCGTGTCTGCATACATTTAAAACTTTTCGGAAAGGAAAAAAACCAAGAAAATCTTATCAAATAATATATAACATCCCATATTTAAACATCATAAACAATATTATTATCATTATTATTCATGAAAAACAAAAACAAAAGTGCCATTTTGTTATTTAATGATAAGAAAAGGAAAAAAAAGCAGACAACATTTTTGGGGGGGGTCTTTGATATTATCAAATATTTTTTTTAACTTATCGATTTATTTGTTTTTTATATTTTGCCAATTTTTTTTTTCTTTTTATTTTTTTGAATTTAACGCCAACGCGCGCGTTTCTAGTCGCCATTTTTTTTTTGCCTTTTTTTTTATTTACTTTTTTCTTTACGCTATTATTATTATTATTTATTACTTTTCTCTTTTTTTTTAATAATAATAATAATAAGACGCTTTAAATAGTATTTTTTTAAAAAAATATATTTATATAAATGTGAGGAAAGCAGCATGTTGTGATTTTTGTATAAGAAGAATCACATACATATTTGAGTATATATATATATATATATATAACCTTTATATATATATATATATATATATGATGATGATAATAATAATTAATAAAATGCTTCAGTGTTTCTATTCTATTATTGACATAAATAATATGCGTATAAATAAAATATTTTGCGTGTTTACAAAAAAAAAAAAAAAAAAAAAAAAAAAATGTGGGGGGGGTTTAATAATAATAATAAACGTGTCATTCAAAGTTATAAGTTTTTTTTTTTTTTTTTTTTTTTTTTAAAAAAAAAAGGAGAAAAATTTTTTTTTTT